GTTCAAACTTGGAATCCTCTGCCTCAGCCTCCCAGAATGCTGAGAGTGCAAGTGTGTGCCACCATGCCTGGCTGGCAGACTTTCCACATACTGCCAGAAAGTACTTTTAGGCTGTGAAGACCATACAGTCTCTATCACTACCCAACTCTGCTGTTGTAATATGAAAGCAGAGGTTGACAATATGTAAATGAAGTGTGGCTGAGTTCCAGTAAAACTTTACTTACCAACATTGAAATCTGTATTTCATATACAATTTTTTATGTGTCACAAAATGCTACTTCTTGGGGGAGGAGTCCTGAGAGCTGAACTCAGGTCCTTATGCATGGTAGGCAACCACTGAACGACTAAGGCACACCCCCTAGCCCTATTCTTTATCTCCTTCCCAATCATTTAAAAATGTAAAACCCGTACTTAGCTGCGGGTCCTGCAAAAACAGGGGGAGGACGGAATGTGGCTAGCAAGTGGGGCTGCTGACTCCTAGCGTGGAATCTAATCCTCCTCACACCTCTGTAAGGAAGCTGGCTAATGTCCTGACCTTTGCCCAGTAGACATCAGCACCGAGATGTCAGGGTACACGCAGTATAATCCCCTCTTCCTCCTCACCTACCTTTCATTAATGAGGAGGCTAAGGGGACACACTGGCTCCTGACCACTCCTCCACAGTGATGAGGTCCTATCAGGCTGGAGCCATTTAAGTCCTATCTCTCTCCCTCTGCTCAATTGCAAACCAAATTTCTTTCTTTTTTTTTTTTTTCAAACCAAATTTCAAAACTACATCTACAGCTACAAAATCCTTCTGCCACATTCTCATCAAAATCTTCTAAGATAGGCAAGGGTATCTGGAAGTAATTTGCACCAAGCCGGCAGCTGCAGTTACTACAGTTTCAACTTCAGCTCCATGATGTTTCCGTTGGACAAAAACGCATTAGGTCGTTTTCCAGTGCGAAGCATTCAACAAATGGCAGCAAGGCAGAGCCACCAGAAGCGTACGCCTGATTTCCACGACAAATATGGTAATGCTATGTTAGTTGGTGCAGCCACGTTCTGTATTGCTGCATGGACCTACACAGCAACACAAATGGACTAGAGTGGACCCTTTCCCCTGTTGGCAGAGTCACCCCCAAGGAATGGCGAGATCAGTAATCAGGCCAGCTGATACGATACAGCTAAATTATTTCTAAATGAAATCATAACTGATGCCAAGTGCAAGGGCTGTGTATCCACTAAAATATGGCCTACTGAAGAAATAAAGTACAATTGAAACCTTTAAAAAAACTTCTAAGGTAACCTTTATTTTTATCCTAGAGGTATTTATTTTTAAAAAGATGTAAAATTAAGCTTGAGGCATGATACTTAATTTGTCATTAAATCCTGTTCCACTGCAATTAACAGTAGCAATTACATTGCAAATTTGAGAAAGTTTTCTGATTAGTGAGGTGACATCATGGTATTTGTGGAGAAGTTATATCTACAAGGAAAATTGGTTAAATACTAAATACCACGAAGGTATCCATGTTCCAAAGTGTTCCAAAAGGCTGTGGGAGAACTCCAGTGACAATTTTATTCTAGAATATCAAGGACACAACATATGGCTAATGTAGTTCTAAGCAGAAAAGGTATTGTTCTTCTAACCGGGTAAAATGCAATCGGTGCAACAAAGGTTAAACAAGTGTAGAAAATGTGCACCTTTATAAAAGGTCCAGGGATAAAGACTTCCCGGAATAATTTATTACCTACACATTCTATTTTTCTCTCAAAGTTCTAAAATCTCAGCAAACATTAATCAAGTCATCCTACTGTCTTTCAGGTTATTTCCCCCATGTTACAGATGACTTGTTGCCAGGATCACTTGGACAATATGTATCTAACTATTTCAACCCTTTCCTGCCATTTATTAGATTGGAATTGAGGAAGGTTTTTCCACCGTTTCCTCCTAGACTGTGTATTTGTTGCTCTCTGCTGCCCCCTGTTGGTGCGACGAGGGAAGAGCAGGTCTCGAGACGGGCCCCAAATCTGGTCGACCAGGCGCACAGGACGTTCAGCCCGCGCCCCCGACTTGATAGAAACCCAAAGTAAAGGGCCTCTCCCTACAGCGCTAAATGAGAGACTCTGGGCCATGGGTGAGCAGTTTGTACTTTAACGAACTTCCAGGTGATTCTGTGGTGACTTAAAATTTTCTTGCTTTAGGTAGCAATGTCTTGGCCTCTTCGTTATCACATAAAGACAAGCCTCCCCACTAGTTCTGTTCCAGGCCTCACATGAAGCGTGCGCTGCTCGGCCATATACAGCATGCTTCCACCTCCATTCAACTTTTTGTCTGTCTTTGTCATCAACTCTGGGGATTGAAGCCAGGGCCTTTGCAGTGAGCTACATCCTCAGTCTTTTAAAATTTTGAGCCAGTGTCTCACTGAGTTCTTAAGCTGTCCAGGCTGGGATCCAGTCTCCTGCCTCAGCCTCGCAGAGAGCTCAGATTACTGATGTTCCAGACGTTACCTCCGTATTGTTTTTCTTTTGAGACCAGGTCTCCGTATGTAGTCCAGGATGGGCTTGAACACGCCGTGATTCCCTGCCTTAGCCTCCCAAGCTAGGATTACAGGTGTACAGGCCCTGCTGCCTCTGTTCATTTTTGAACATGGATTTGCATCAGCCCTGTGCAGTCGGCCAGAGAGGGACTGCTGCCCCATTTTACAGGTGAGGAGACCAGGAGAAGAGGCTGAAGAAAAGTCAGGGAAGTTGTCAGAGCTGCTCAGCTTTAAATGGCAGAGCCAAGTTCAAATCCGAGTCTTCCATTTTTATGTCCATACCTAGGGCCTCTTCAAGTACTCCATAGCAGAACTTCTGAGATTTTAACCAGATAATCCTTTAATGTGGGGCCATCCTATAGATTACAGGATGGTTTGTTTTGCAGTGCTAGAGTTAAGCCTGGAGTCCAGTGAGTGCCCGGCAAGTACTCAACCACAGAGCTCCGTCTCCAGCCTCAGGCTGTAGGACAGGCAGCAGCACCTCTGGCCTTTACCCACTAGCTGCCAGTCGCATCCCTATCCAGGCTGTGACAATCACAAACTCCTAAACATTGCTAGATGTCCCCTGGGAGGGCACAGAATCATCCTTAGTTGAGAAGCACTGCCTTACAGCCATTGCATGGATTGGGAGAACTCCCACAATTTCTGTTCAGCAGATTTACCTTCACCTCTTTGGAGGTGATTCAAACAAGCTTTCGTTTTGGTCTCTAGGCTCTCAAGGAAGCAAAGGAATTAGACTAAACGTTGGCCCCATGATTCCTTCACTACCCTTTATGAAAGCTTACATTAGTTAATATCATCTGGTATCTGGGCTATATTCAAATTTCTCCATTTGTCCCAAAAATCTTTTTTGTAGCTGGTTTTTTTTTTTTTTTTTGTTTTCCTCCTCTCCAATCTAAAATCCAGCCTAGTTTCTCACACTACATTAGTTGCTGTCTATTTCATCTCTAGGCAAACTATATCCCAAGGACCAAATTTGGCCACCACCTATTTCTATAAAAGATCTTCTCTGAGATTCAGTTATACTCTTTCACCTACATAACATTGCTGGTTGCATTCATGCTACAGTGGTGGGATTGAGTAACTGTGGCAGAAATTGTCTGATCCACAAAACCTAGAACAGTTATTACCTGGCCCTTGACAGAAACATTTGCTCACCCATATCTTAGTAATCTGCTTGCCTCATCTTTATTTTTATTTTTAGTGGGCAGGGGATTGAATAAACCCAGGGTCTTATGAATGCTAGGCAAGTGCTCTACTCTTGAACTATATACCCAGCTTTAATTTCTTCTTTTCAACTGACTTGAATATATAT